TTTTTTTTAAAGAAATAGAGACTGATGCTGAATTGAGAAAATAAAACTTATGGAAAATACTTCCACAGACAGAAAGCTGAAATATTCCATTGACAGCTTTCTTGCAAAGTTGTCGAAAAATAACACTTTAGTGATATCAGAGACAGGAATTTGAAAAGCAGATGTGATTGCTAATTAAAAACTTCAGGAATTAAATGTTATTTCCTAAGCTGTGAATTTTTGTTTATAAACATTCATCAAGTCGTGCTCGTTATTGACGAAGAAACCTTGTTAGCCAGCTTTCAAACCACAAAAACATGCGCACACACACAGATGTGTTACTTTTCTTCTTTCTTACCTTGGTTTTATTTGATGGCGGGGAGCTGCGGCCCTTGTCGCTCTGTGAATGTGTGTTGGTGGGTGGCGAGTGCGTGCCCAGGTTGGCTTGGGGAGGAAGGCTGCCTCCATGCTGCTTGGCCCCAGGGGAAACCTGCATGGCTGCTAGCTGAGCAGCATACAACTGCTGCAAGGTCAGAGAGAGACAGGTAGAGAGACAGGGACGGGAGGGGGAGACAGGATAGAGGCAAGAGTTGAGTCGGTGGGACAGCAAGAAAGGGAGAAGAGGGGGGGTAAAAAGAGAGGGGAGGAGGAGGAGAAAAAAAGGAGAAGAAAGGATGACATGAATAAATGAATAGTCGAGACCACAAAAAAAAAAAGAAAAGAAAAGAAAAAGGCGGCTAAAAAGCTCTGGAAGGAGAGGCCATTAGTGGCCCGGCCTCTGTTTGTGTGACAGAAAGATAGAGTGGGACATCTCCACTGTCAGCCCCCCTCCCACCCCATGGGAGAAGCGCTAACAGCCTCTCTGACAGGCCTCAAGACGGCCATGTCCCCTCCAGGTGCATCGTGGGAGAAAGGCAAACACTCTGCCTATCGAGGTCACGATGGAGAGCCCAGCTCTTGCTCAAGGTAAAAAAAAAAGTGATGATGGAGAAGGAGAGAAATTTGTGACGCTACATGGCAGATGGGACATGCCAGGAGTGTGTTGTGGCCCTGTGATGTTTTTAATGCGTCGACAATAAGATGCAAAAACAGACGCAAATGTCGTGAAATAGGTTTAAAATAAAGATAAATTGATTCAATAACTACAGTAGGAGGCAAAAAAAACCCAAAACACTGTTTTCGTTATTCTTATTTATGTATTTAATTAATTTCCAATTAAATAAAAGCATTATGGTGTGAGCTGCGATGGTGCGAACATACTCTGGGATATTTATGCAATAGCATTGTATCACACAAAACAGTCTCTGGCCAGTATTTCCACAGCAACAGACACAGCATAATATTCACAACTTGGACGAAGCTTCAATATTCATAAATGCCTCTTTCTGTCTTTCTGCTTAAAATCATCCTGCAAAGCTCAATTACTTTCATGTTGGCTAATACAAATCTCTAAGACGCTGGTTTTGTGTTCCTCTGAATTGTTAGTGCTTCCTGTGAAGAGCAACATAATGGTTGTTTTTGCACGAAGTAACTGATGTGTTGTTTTTCTTTTCTTTTCTTTTTTTTTGAATAGTTATAATTGTTATTATTTATTTCTGGTGGAATATTTTTCTGGAAGAAGACCATCCTTTTTTTTTTTTTTAGTTTAACTTCCGTCCTTCTGTTGGTGCTTGGCTGCCGGCCACCGGCGTCAAACAAAGGCCTGTTTATGCAAATGGACAAGGAAGAGATGCTGTCACTGCTGTTTCTCTCTCTCTGTCCATTTGTACCTCACTCTATCTCTCTTGACAGCCACATTAGCTCCTTCTCCTCTTTGCTATCTTAAACTAAGACATTTATCTCTTTACCAAGGGGGAAAAAACAGAGACATTCTGGTGGCGTGCACGCGCACACACACACACACACACACTTGCATAGCGGCATACTTTTTGGAAGAATCTCATATTTGAATATGAAATAATCTCTTCATGACTACCATTCATTCAAATAGTACAATATTTACTGTCCAACAATTCAACAGCAACGCAAAAGCATGTTTTCTACAACATTTCTATCTTTTTCTATTACTTTTATCGATTTTCCAAACTTATAATTTCACTCTAAAACAGATACCTGCCATTCCAAGAATTGCATTCAGAGGTAAAATAAATAATACTGTGAAAAGTAACGTCATCCCTGATAAACACTTTGGAGTTATGGAGTTAAAAAAAGGGCAATCCACATTTTTCACTGACTGTTGAGGCCCTTGCCCCTCCCCCACTCACTCTAAAGGCTCTCACACGTTACTGTTTGCTCCTGAGTCGTCTCTTGTAAGTGTAAAATACAGAAGCAAGTATTTCTTCTCTGATGAGTATCTGTATAGATTTCTCAAACATGAGTGAAGTGCATGATTGAGGTACATAATGTGCACTGGATGTGTTGCTGCTGCTGTGAGTTGCATGGACGCGGCACAGTTGACCAGCTCGCTGAGATCAGATCAGCCGGTGCTTGTTCATTGCTCTTCAATTAGCTGTACTGTAGCTCCTGCAAAGGAGGGGAAGGCGGGTGGTGTGGGGGTGGACTTCCAGCCGAGCATGAAAACCCCTCACCCCCCTCTTCCCTGCTAGCCAAACCCCCCCGGCGAGTGGACCACAGGCGGTGTGTCTGTGTGTGTATGTGTGTCCTGCCATATTCGGACCAGTGGTTCAAAGGCCTCTTTATTTACGGAGTGAATTGAGTTCCATTACAAGGCCAGCTCCCGTCACTCAAAGCCTGCTCAATGGGCCGGCGAGCAATGACACACACACACACACACACACACACACGGTACAGAGGGCAGAGGCACTGTGGAGCGTGCCCAGAGCGTCGCCACAACGACATACATGTCAACAAACAGGAAGTGACAGCGCAAAGCCCCCTGGGGTGACTAGAGGAGTGAACACACACACACACAGATTGGGGAGGGGGGTGCAAATGCAGTTGCAGGATGAGACTAAGGAATTTGAAATGTCACTCACAACCCAGGCACACTGCTGAGCTGTACAGCCCTTCCCTCTTTATGTCCCTAATCCCTTAATGTGAAACAAGCAATATGTCAATAGAATTTTTACATGTGCGTCTGTGTGTGTGTGTCTGTGTGTAGCCCGACCTCTACTGACATCAGGTGGGGAGGTGATGGGAGACTGCTGGTGTTCTCTGACTGAAAACATGGGGTCACTCTGTGGTATTAGTAGTACTGACACTATCTTGTGTGCATCTTCCCCGACACACACAATAAGCTGTGTCCATTCTCTTGTTTTGCTGTTTCTCTTGTCAGCTTAGTCACTGGGGATCTGTGTGTGTCTGTGAATCTTGGTCAATAATCTGCAGCCTTAGACAGATTACAAGCTTGCCTGATCTTTGTTGTCTGAGTACGCGGGCGCCTCAGAGCGGTCTGAGCTCTATTGTTTACGTGGACACGAGGACTATTGTATAGATCTTAATGGATTCTTCTCTGTCTATCTGAGCGTGTTTTTTTCACCCTCACTTGTGGGTTGTTTTGGTACTTAGAGGCAAAAAAAAGAAGACAAGCCTCGGTAAAACTGATAATGAGTCAGAAGCGTCTGACACAAACGCTGTCCGATCTTTACGTCTTATCAACCTCTTCTTCGATTTTGCTTTCGAGCCTTTGTTCTTGTTTGGAAACCTATGTGAGATTGAACTACAATAAACTGAATGAAAACAACCCACACAGAGAGATTACTTCACCACAATATAGTGGTCAAGTTTAAATAAAATAACTACAATGCTTTCTTTATACCTTGACAGCAAGTATTTTGGCTATTTCTTTTTCTTTGTGCTCTCTTTAAAGTATTGAATAGAACGAAATAACCGATATTTAGCTTTTACTTTAACATCGCCGGGTTACTTAAAGTGAATAACTTCTCAACAATGCAGTCTATACTTTATTTTGTAATTTCCCCAGAATTTAAAGCCGGAATATAAAAACTACCGCTCAAATACGTGGGACTTGTACACCAAAATGTTTCTATGAACTCTATTTTCTATAAAAATCTATTTTTCTCTTAAGGGTTCAGAAGTTTTATCTGCTGTCCCTGCTGCTCACGGGCTCACAGTGCAATCTCAAAAATAAATCTCTCAGCACCTCCAACACTGAAGCATCTGAGAAAACTGCTGTGTTGCTATCTGTCTTCCTTCCAGATAAGGTTTTGTAGAAAAAAACGACTTGCGCGATTGATTTCTCGTTTACCTCTCTCATCTGTTCCTCTTTTCCCCTCCCCTCCTCCCTCTAACCGCCCATCCGTTGTTCGTCCATCTATGTCTCCGGTGTACAGTGCGGTAATCCAGGACAATATGTTCCAACATCTGCCTCTCCATATGATGCCTGACCCATGCCATTGACCCTCTTTATACCACGCCACACACACACACTTTGTTGCGCACAAACACACTTTATTCCAGTGCTTACCTCCGTTCCCTCATCTCTTTTTCTCTCTGTTTATCCTTTCAGCTGATCATCCTCTGGTACTTTTGCCTTTTCATCGTTACCTCAAATCTCTCCCTCACCAGGATAAGTGGATTTTCTTTTCATTTTTCAATTCTCTGTCTGTCCTTCTCAGTCCATTTGTGTGATGTGGATGATATCAATGATATCAAGGGTCAATAGGGAGCCAGATTAACATGCTCTAATGCACAATGTCACACTCATCCCACAGATTAAGATGCTAAATGCCAACCTTGTACACTCCAAAGCCTCCACTGCCTTGAAAAGCTTCTGTAGAGGATTCAGTGTTAAGCTTCTATTGACTTTAAGAGCCACTCTGTTGATTTCTATGGAGGACGGTTCAAACGTAGGAAAAAAGCTTTAAAATCATTGAGTTTAATACATTTTTCTAAGAACTGCACTTATCTCGACACTGTGCTTTTGAAAGGTTTTCTTTCTGTCTTCTTTCTTTCTGTGTGCACATTGGATGCACACAGATTAAGCCATTATTCCAAACTTGATTTCTTGCTTCGTATCTACAGCCTGCAAGGAACAAGAATCCAAATAGGACTGAGATTTCTGCGATGACACAATAAAAAACTGGCGCAAAAGAAGTTTCAGTCAGAATCACTTTAGTCAAATGAAAAACATTTTTTTTTTTTTATCTGCGATTATTTATATTTGACTGTAAGGCTGTACTCTGTTTAGAGCAGCAAAAGGACCCTCATACAGAACAGAGGAGGCATTAATGGCCACAGATGAAGTCACACAGTATGAACGGAGGAGCTGTGGTGGAGGTGGGTTGCAAAGCGGCTTCCAGTTGTGCAGGAAATGTGGGCAAGTTTAAGCAAATACTGCGCCCTGTGTAAACTTTGCCACTTGGATGCATAAAAATATATAAAAACTGAGCTATCAGCTTATATGAGCCTGACAACTAACTTTATGCAGGATTGTGTCAAAGTAACATTCTTGTTCATATTATGAACTTTAAGGGAGAATTCATCAATTTAACAGTTCTCTAACTTTAAATTACAAATATGTTTGTTTTTGTACATTTTAGTGGGTTTGCAGAGTCCTCTGTCACAGAAAATAGGACACAGTGTTTAAAAGACAGAGGTGTTAGTTGATAACGTGCCAACAAAAGATTGTGGGGTTCTGTGTTTTGGCACTTGACAAGGAGTGGAGCCAAGGGGTAACCACAGCCACGACAGACTAAAAGCTGGCCACCCAAGACAACCAGTGGTGAAGCCTATTAGAGGCTACACTCATACTCATAAAACTAGAGTTACATAGAGTAACAGCTGAACAGTTTCTCTGTGGCTGTTGTTCCTACACAGACAGCTTAATAACACAACTGCCCAGTTAGACTACAGCTCTCCTCTAACAGCTTTATCAGCAATAAAAAAAATCACATTAGCAACTGCTCAAAGTGTGAGCTACATAGAGAAGCTTAATATATGAGTGTATTTAAAGGAAGTATTCATGCCTGCATAGGCAAATAAGTGAGTGAGCAAAGAAAAAATCCTGCACCTATACACTGGAAAAGGAAGAATATCCATAGATGGTAAATGGGGCGATTGTGGCTCAAGAGTTGGGCGTTCGTCTTGTAATCGGAAGGTTGCCGGTTCGAGCCCCGGCTCCGACAGTCTCGGTCGTTGTGTCCTTGGGCAAGACACTTCACCCGTTGCCTACTGGTGGTGGTCAGAGGGCCCGTTGGCGCCAGTGTCCGGCAGCCTCGCCTCTGTCAGTGCGCCCCAGGGTGGCTGTGGCTACATTGTAGCTGCCATCACCAGTGTGTGAATGGCACGATCTGATATCTTCGTGTTGGTGTTGTTCCCAGATCATCATACTTGTTCCAGGATCAACATTGCAAGTGACCAATCAGAATGTTGTGATGTCATACTTTTGCGACTTCGGGAAAAACCGGCGTAAAACAAAAAACTGTACTTAAGCTGCGAGAAACCGCCTTTGTCCGCCAATCAACGGACCCTAACCCTTTTATAAGCTAAGCAGAATTGATATTGTCCTTGCAACATTGGAATTTCATAAATGCACGAATGGGTTGGTGCGCAAAAGAATAACGTCACAATAATGTGATTGGTCACTTGCAATGTTGAACCTGGAACAACATTTTCATGATGATCTGGGAACAACACCAACACGAGGATATCAGATCATCCGTGTGAATGTGTGGATGATTGCGTATAGTGCAAAGCGCTTTGGGGTCCTTAGGACCAAGTAAAGCGCTATACAAATACAGACCATTTTACCATTTACCAATATCCATAGCTCAGACTATACTGTTTACAGTTGCATCAATGCAAGCTGCTTGTACAGGAGCCGCTGCTGTTTTTAAACAATAACTTTAGTGATTTATTAGCAGAAAATTAAGAGGGATGTATAAAATTGGCAGGTATACTAATTTAAGCAAACTGAACCAGCAAGGTACCAAATGCAGCTTTTGATCCTATATTGTATCAGTGGGTGTATATAATATACCACTTTCCCCAAAGTGAGTCAGTCAGATGTGCTGTGATACCAAAGTTAACGACCTAAACCGGATCAATAGTGCTTTAGATAAGAAAGGCTCTTTGTGGACTGTCAAAAAAGCCCTTTAACTCCTTTTCAAATCAAAATATATTGGATTTGAATTTAATTCAATTTGGACAACAAATATAGATTCTTCATATTGTTGAAGACTAAACCTTCGATCCCAGGCGCACGGGAAGTGTAGCATATATGAGAAGCGTGTGTACAAACTGTAATCACCATGTTTGTGTGTGTGTGTGGTTCAAGTCCAGCCCACATGTTGAAATAACACACCTGTGGGCATGTCTGCATGTTCCCCTGAATGCACCTTAGTTTATTGTCCATTGTATCTGAAAATCTTTCATTTTCTGTCTTCATTTGTGTACGCGCGTCGGCTGAATGGGTTCACTCGCGTCTTCCCCGCCAAACCGCTGTGTTGCCGTGGCGACCCGAGGGCCGAGCTAACTGTCATGTCTCGTCTGGGCGACAGAAACACCTCCTTATCAAATGAGGGCGCAGAGACGATCCCAAAGGAAATCCATCCACATTGAGACATCTGTACTTGTGTTAGCCCTGGCAAATCCGTTTCTTTGTGACAAAGCCTTAATCTCAACGTGCGCCTGTGTTTGTGTGAGCGTGCATGTGGATGTGTATTTCTCTTGGAGGATTGGAAGAAAGAAATCTGACTGAGTGAGATGGGTTTTCCTTTTTTTTTGTGCACTTGTTGTGTTCTTTTGCCCCTCCCTGCTTGTGCGTGTGCGTCTGATTGCAAGGTGGACAAAGCTGTTTGACTGGAGATTTTGAGTGAGTCTGAACACAGTCGAACATATGGACAGCTAGATTGAGGCAGTGATAACAGACAGAGAAAATTATTCTGGGGCTAAACACAAACGTACACACACACACACACACAGGCGCGCGAGCAATAATGAAATCAGTGACGACAGCGGGGTCCGTTCTCCATGATAGAGTTACACAGCTATTCTATTCTCCCTGTAGTGTCTAGCATATGGAGCTGCACGTTTTGGCTGACAGGTGCAAATGTATTACACACCCTCTGTCTGACCTTTAACCCATAATTTCTCATTGTTCCCCTTGCGTGTAAGTGAAAAGACGCGGAGAACTACATGAAAACATGTGTGTCAAATGCAGCTGTTTCTCTCAGATGTACACAGGTGGCCAAGTGTGCTGAGGGAGAGCCCTGCACTGGTGCTTAATGTGTTTCAGACAGGCGAGTGAGAGGATGCCAGTGCAAGCTCTTAACCCCTCTGAGAGGGGGGCCCAAAGCCGACGTGGATCTCTGAGTTCTAGTCGTGTGTGTTTTTCTATGCAGGGCAGACAGTGGTCAAGATTACATAAGTGGCCGCCTATTTTACATACACACAGAGGAACAGCACGCATCTCATCCTCCTTTTAAGCTGGATAACAGATGTCAGCTTGTTTTCCCACCTGTGTTTTACCTTTCCTATTTAACTCTCCCTCATCTCTGCCCTGCTTTCGACAGAGTCCCCTGAGGTGCATGTAGATGTAAGCTGCCCCTTAAATCCTGGGTTCGACTTTGTCATAGTTTCCTTTGTTTGGTCAACATCCCCGAAACAGATAAAATTAAGAATTTGTCAGTTTGGATACTGCATCTCTACATGCAGTGAAAAGACACACAATGATTTAATGCTTCAACTTCTGGTTTGTGATGCAAAAAGTTTTGGACACTTCATTTTAAAGGCATGCTTGAGTACAGTGATCCAAACCTATTTAGAAATATCCCTCTTTTGGTTTATTCGGCGCCTTCGGTAAAGTCTGTGCTGTTAAGGGTGATTGAAATGTCTTCAGCATCACCCCCAAATTACCTCTGACAGCCAATCTGAATATTTCTGTGCTCTACTCTGCATGCCGGCTCCCACTGAACTGCATCAACCCCATTTGCTCCCTATCACAGGACAAAGCCGAGGGCTACGCTTACATTTGTCACATCTCTCTGTTTGTGTGTGCTTCTTTTTCCTGAGCGCTGATCATAAAGATCATGTTTTTGTGGGATCACTTTGGTGTCAACACTTTGGCTGAAAGTGACAGCTGCGCATCCCCCCCCTGTGGCTGTGTTTGTGGTCTTCTCTAGCTCAGTGGGCAGCAGAATGTGGTGTGAACACTGTCAGGGTTAGGGGAATTGTTCACAATGGCATCGTCCCAGTGAGAAGAGAAACGTCTGTGATATATCTGAAGGTTTGTGGCTACTGCTGGAAGTCGTTTTTATGTTTCTGGCCCCTAAGTTTATTTCTGAGAGATCAACTGTAGGCGCTATAGCCTTACCTGGAGCTGTAGGGGTCCCAGACCTGGTGTGGCGGCAGCAGCAGCAGCCATCGTTGTGGGGATGAGCTGGAGAGGGTAGGGGTCACCTGAAGACAAGAATCACATTTTTTCTATATAAAATGAAATAAATTAAAAACAACGACTGCTTTCGAGCACTTTACACGCCAATTTCTCCACCTCCCCCCTGTTAGACTAGGATGGCTCTGTGACCCTTTCTCCACCCATGTCTCCATTTTCCTCTCCTATCAGCCTCCATCTCTCTTGTTCACTCTTTCCTCTCATCCTTTTGTTTTTCTCCTCCCTCTCCTCCCACTTTAGTCTCTTGCTCCCTCTCTCCTCTCCCCCATAAACCCTCTCTCCCACCACCACCGCCGCTGCCACCTGAGTCCCTTTCTGCAGCTGTTAAAGCCATCCTTTGTGTCCGCTGCCGGTAGGGCCCTAATGAAAAGCCTGATTGTGTGTCCTCCTCCTTAATACCCCTTGACAAAGAGCAGTGAGGTGAAGGGATTCTGATAAAGCCGGCCCCAGCACCGTAATTAAGAGCCGCGACTGCCGATTGCTGTTCTCCGCTCTCCCTTTTTCCCCCCTCAACTGTCTGTTCTCCTGCTTTGTGGACACAGCGCTGCTTTCACTGCTCCCCTCACTCGTCTCCTTTGCTTCTTTCCTTCTTGGTGCCTTCTTCACAAGTTACTCGCTACCTCTCCATTTTGTCTCTTCCTTTCCTTCATCCCTCTCTCGCCCTTCTGTCAGGAGTGATAAATCAAGAGATAGATGGACGAACAGGGCGGAAGAGATGACAGAAGCGAGGTGGAGAAAGAAAGGGGGGGAAAGGGGCGAGTTTGGATTATTAGTTAGTAAGTGCAGATAGGCTGCACTGTAATTACTCAGAGAGAGAGAAAGAAAGAAAAAGAGGGACAGAAAGGTCAGAGATAACAGGAAAGAGAAGGTGGAGGGTGAGGGATAGCAGCGAGAGGAGCAGAAGGGAGAAAAGAAGAGGATACGGTGTTTAATTATGGTCATATTGTACAAACATGCTGGTTGAAAGCTCATTTGAACTTGCTCTCTAACTAAAGAGGAGTTGGTGGACGAGATCGGGCTTTTGTGCTGATATCTAATCCAGGAAACGTCTTTCATCTAAAGAAAACTCGAGAAGCTTCTCAGTGCTTGACCTTGCATTTCTGACCTGAACCTTGAGCACAGTGATCAGCCTCTCGGCTCTATCTATTGTGTGTATTTGCCCGTGTACGTTTTGTGTCCTAGCTTGGCACAAGCCAGACTTTCCTTACAACATATTTTCCCATATATCTTCACTCTTAAAAATAACACACACAAAAAAGAAAAAAAGAGGGTGAAAGCAAAGCTGAGACATTCCTTTGTCCAGTTGGGAAGGGGGGCAGGAGGGATTAAAGAATTATTTCAGGACTGTGTATTCTAGGAGATTGGTCTGTTCTCCTTGCTCCCTGGACAAACATGAGCCCAGTGGATATTTATGCTCCTCCTGGGGGTCGCTGTAACAAAAGGGAGAAGGACAGAGAAAAGCAAACATGTTGCTCTTGGCTCGGGGACAGCGACCTAGGCGGACGAGGCTGAGATTTCTCACTGACAAACAGACGAAAGAGGGAGATGGATGAGGGCAAGCGATATACACAAAAACACTATCAGTGACACTTTGATGTTACAATTTTGCACATTTTTTATTTTTATAGAGGCATTATAGAATCTTTCAACATGAAAGCAACAGCGAGACGATGCAGTTTTCTTACCATAAAGAGTAAAGCTTTCTGTGTTACTTTTTTCTGAACATTTTCTCAAGTTACTCAGACTTAATTTTTGAAAAGAAAAACCTGTGTTTTGAACTTGGGATGTTTAGTTTAGATTACTTATCTCTAAAACACCCTTTGAATCACTTTAGTCTCGTCTCCAAATAACAAACAAATAAAACAGAGTTTGTCAAACTTTAGAGCTTAAAGTCTTAAGTTTTTCCTGTTTACTCTGAAAGTTAAAGATATAAAACATGGCCAAAATTTCAAATAACAAAGTGATCTCTTAGTATGAAGTTGCACACTCAGACATGTTTTGATCCATATGATAGCCTTATGACATTTCCCCTTGTGGGACTAATAAAGGTATATCAATCAATCATAAAGACTAAACATTAAATCAAAGATCTTTTATATGGTCATCTCAGCCTCTCCTGCAGACTCAAGCACAGAAATGTCACCCAGCTTCTGCTCAAAGCTTCTGTTTGAAAGCGCGAGCCCATCTGGGTTTAAGGAAGAAAATCTAAACTGGCACGTTTCAGACTGTGGATGAATCGAGGGGCCGCGTCAAGGCTTAGTATCAGATTAAAGAAGAGTATTTTGAACTGTTGTTCATGCAAAGCTACCCTAAAAATAGCTGGAATTAAGCTTCCAGCTTTTTTCAAAAAGTTACAACCATAAACGCAGGTATGTTTTGCACTTATTTATTCGTTATCCCTCCCTCGAAGATGCTAGCTGATTTCTTAAACTGCAGCGTGAAAAAAACAGACTGCGTTACTGTTCAAGTGCTTAAACAGGAGAGGCTTGGAATGCGCAGAAATCCATACTGTGCAAATAAAATGTATTCCTGTCTTCCAAACTGCGAAGCGCCGTGAGAATATGTCAGCGCACAATGCTACACATGTCCTATTTAGAGCTTCACCACCAAACTACATCGACTCACAACAACTTCGAAAGTTGCCAGAGAGTTTTCTCAGGGGCGGCTTGGCCTGCCGCAGTGTGCCAGTCCGGTTGAAGTTGGCTGAGGCAGTGAAAAGACAAGCCCACTACTTGACAGGGTATTTACGTGGGCAGTGGGCGTGGGTGAAGATGGCACTAATTAAAATGGAATGGACTTGTTTGGGAAGCTGTGAAACTCTAAGTGGGGTGGGGTGGGGGGGGGGGAGTATGCACGAGCCTGTGCGCACACTTACATATTTGTGTCTGATTTGTGTGTGTGTGTGTTTGCAATTCTACAAAGCCATTTCTGGCTGTCTGGACGTGTGTGTGTGCGCGCGCACGCGTGTGTGTGGGGGCTGCTTTGGAAACATGTTCTGGCTGCGTCCCGTGTTAATGTGAGGAGAACCTGGGGCAGGTCACATTACCACCCTCCCTCCCCCCCCTTCTGCTAACCCCCCCCACTGTGCATTTATTCTCAGCATCCCCTGGCAAGCACTAACCTCTCCTTTTTCCCTCTCTCTCTCTCTCCATCTCTGTGTCTCTCTCTCTCTCTCTCTATCATGGTAAACAACACATTGCCACACAGCCGGAGCGTGATAGCCAAAAAAAAAAAAAAAAAAATTCTGCAGGACGCCTTCATTTTGTTGCTTTTATACATCAAAAAATAGACAAGACAAAAGGAAGGAGCCAAAAGGACTGAGCGAGAGAGGGAGAGAGAGATAAAGAGAGTGTAAACAGGAAGGGTGTATTTGGACTGGTTTTTCTATTAAGAGGGAGATGTTGTTATAGGGGCGAGCTCGTCTTTTGGGAAACAACCAGACTCCTTGTGTGGGAAAATGGTAGGACTCTACCTTGCTTGCTTGGTGAAAAACATGTGAAACATCACACATAAAAGCTACTCTGAAAGTTGCACCTATTCATGAATGTACAGCGTGTGTGTGCGCGCACGGATGCCACTCACTGCAGCCAGGCTTGTAGTTGAAGCCAGGGGGCATTAGGAAGCCCTGCTGGGCCGCAGCTGCCGCAAGAGTTCGCTGGTCTGGGGGAAAGACGGGAATCATCAGTGGAGGGAGTTGGCCCTGGACCTGCTGATGAAGGAGGGGGAAGAACAAGGGGAGGAAGTTGGAAAAGGGGGGAAAAGAAAGGAAAATGAGAAGGCATAAACATTACGACCTGTCCATTTGTACAGCTCTTCGTGTGTGCATGTGCTGGGAGCGATATGAACAATGCAGAAAATAAAGGTGTGTTTGCACAGTAACACAATCAAATGCATTCATATACATACACTGTATGCATGCAATCGATGCCGAACACGCAACTGTAAAGAGAGCATCGTGTCGTTTCAAACACAAAAAGCCACGTCACGAGGACAGTTCACTAAACTCTAACAACAGCTGGCCTTTTCGTTTTATTTGGAAGACAGTGCTCTCTTCCCTTCTCCCTGCATCAAACCTCCCACCAACCAAAACACACACTAACATACAAACACACAGACAACAACGCTGTGTGCGCGCCTGTCGGCAGAGAGCCATACGACTTCATAAGGTTTCCAGGATTTTAAAAGGAGACGAAGGGAGAGAAAAAAAAGAAAAAAGAAAAAGAAAAAGAAGCTCCTCCGATGGGTGACTTTGGCAGGGATGACAGGAGAGAGAGAGAAGGAGAGAGAAGTAGGAGACAGATGGTTGCACTAAACAGCGTTCTGCCAAAAACAACACACAAAGACTTGCGCGTGATGGACTGACTGACAGTTTGAGAGGAAAGATAGGAGAAGATAAGGCGAGGGAGACGGGGAGAGTGGAAAAAGGTGGGAGAAGGAAGGAAATAATGGAGAGTTTCTACCTAAAGCTAAGGTGTAACGCGAGATGAAGACAGCAAAACATCCCAAAGCAAAGTAAAAAAGTCAGAATTTAAAAAAATAATGCGAGAATCTTGCGTAATCCTCCGAGCCAGCCCTAGGACACATCTTGCCCTCTTTGTTGCTTTTATTCAGTAACGAGAAGCATACAGTTTGTCTTTTTTCATTGGCCACCAGTTTTTTGAATATTAAATGGCAAGATTACAACAATGCTGCGCCCACACTGTACTCAAATAAAATTAGAAGTACAAGAAGCAGGTCTTGGAAGTGTAATATATTTAATTAACAATTTCACAGCTACTGTCAATTTAACTATACCTTTAATGATGTCTTTTTCTGTTTTACAGTATAAACAGATTTCTGTCAGGACCACTACAGTCAAAAGGAAGATTGTTTTTTCCATCTGCAGTCATTTGTATTTGGCAGTATGCCTCTTCCGGGACCTCCCTGTGCATTTGTGGAAAGTAGCTCAGAACAGAATAGGCATCAGTGACGTAACAGATGTGACACTGACTGAGTTTAAAAAGGGATGAAAGGAGGTGAAGTTGGGTTCCACAGCGGCTTGCAGAGGCCACAGCAACCAGGCTGATGATATGCAGCTTTCAAATATGCAAACACGATGCACGCTATACGCAAGCTATTAGCTGAGCCATCAGCTGATGTGAGTGTCAATGAGAACAGCTGATCTGTCAGGGCTGCTGCCTCAGGCTGTGAAACCTGCCAGAACTAATGCTATGTTCAATTTAAAAGAAAAAAAAGCAAAGGAAAGACGGGCATCCTGAAGTTTCCGTGTTAAACTGTGAGGCTTCCCCGCTTAAATCAAATCCCTGATAATGTCTTAAGGCCCATGACCTGCACATGTCTGGTTGCAAAGCACTTTGCTCCCTCTTTGCAACTAATCTCTCTTCCTCTTCTTCTGTCACTCTTATTTTGCCAGGAGACCAGAGAAGGTAATGGCTGAATAGGATAATGGGTGAGTAAAAGCTGACTGATGTGGAAAATTGATCTGGAATGAAGGAAATGGCTGCACAATCATAAAGAATGGCGGTGGTGCCACGGTACAATCGGGTAATGTCTCAGCAATGTGAGCCCTTTAAGTGGTTAGTGTTTGAGACAGGTAAATAGAAAAAAGAGAGAGAGAGTGGCTGTCGCTCAGTATCAACAGTGATTTTACAGTGTACTGTAAATTCCTGTGCGTGTGTGTGTGTGTGTGTTTCTGTCTCCTCCTCCTCCCCCTCCTCCCGCTCCTGTGTGTGTCGGCACGCGGCAGCCAGCAGCACTGTAATCAAACTATCACAGCGCAGCTCCTGTTCCCCCCTTACACCAAAAACAATAATTACTCCACCATTTTGGTTAACCATAAACCGTCGTGCCGCCTGCGACGCACGATCAGAAGGGGGAGGCGTTCCAGAGCGACGCTCGGACAGGACCCCTGCGGGGACGAATCACAGACAGAACAGTTCTGCTTTGCCTTTCAGGCCTAATTGGACATATGCTGGAGTAGAGCTGGCTAGAAATGCTGTAATATACCGGAGGGAGGAGAGGGAAGGGGAGCAGAGGAGCAGAGTAAGATAAGTTTGAGGCAGATGTAGCACATATATACTGTACATACACACACTTGTATATCTATATTGTGTGACTCAGTGTCTGTACATGACTTTGCGTCTTTCTTTGCCAATGAAAACGCCACAAAAAGCTACCTTCTCCTCTATATCATCCCCTCCTTTTCTAGATCTCAGAACAATATGCCTGCATACAATAGACAGACATTAATCAGCCTAAGAACTGTTGCGTATTATGTACAATATGAGTCATCACAATGGGATAAGAAGATCAGGAGGAAGAAGAACAAAGGGATGAGAAACAGAGACAAGAGTGAGATGGGGAATGGTTTATAGAGAACAATTCCCATACATAGGTTGCTCTCATAGTAGCTGAGTTAGTGTAACAGCTGCTGAGCTGATCAGTAGCAGCAATAGCCTAACGTGCTCACTGACACTCACACTTATCGACTTTCATAAGCCACACAAAGCAGGAAACGTGGGTCGCAGCAAGTTGAGCGAGGGACTCAAAAAATGAGTGTGTGTTTGTTTGTGGAGTGGCTATCCCATAACACAGAGGATCAATCACTCTGATACTGTAGGAGCTTTCTTTCCCATTTAATATTGAATATACAATAATGCCTTAAAGCAACTCACGAGCTCTGCCTTGTGATCACGCCGTAAACTTTGAAACCAACAAGAAGAAGAGGGAGGGAGAGTGCTATAAAAATCAGAGACAAAGATGAGCTGACAGAAGGAAAAAGAAAAGCGGGAGAAAGTAAGAGTAGGAGAAAGGGAGAGGGAGGCTGGATCTATCAGACAATCTCCAGATCTCACATAAAGGAAAAGGCACATCTTAAACAGCAGGAGCTTTGGGAATAATGCGCTCCTCAGCTTCTCTTTCACATCAGGCCCAAAGCGAACATGAAAACCTACAATGCACACGCACAAATCTTCACGCTGCTACTGCTGACGTGGAGAATAAGAGGCGCTGCCGCTTTCATCTGCAAACCCCACCTCCACACCCAAAACAGAAACCTGAAACGAAACCGGATCTGAAAAACGCCTCTAATCAGTGAAAGCTAAATGCAAAACAAAGAAAAAAAATTACTCTAAGCAGAAGAAGAAGAAGGGAAAAAAAAAATCACATATATTAAGAACAAGTGTGAAACTTTTTCTCGAGAAATTTCACAGGGGCAAAGGGGACGGAAAGAGAGAGAGAAGTTGACAATTCACCCTGGCTAGACAACTTCTCAGGAAATAAACAGCAGATAGAGAGAACAGAATGAACAAGAGAGGGAGAACGAGTGAGAGGAAGAGAGACGGAGAGGGGAGCAAGAGTTGGATAATTGGCAGCGAGTCGAGGCTGCGTTCACCACGCGCCAGGCGGCACAGCTTGAACTTAAAGCGCCGCTGCGGCATAATGAAGATGTGGCCGCTAATTAACATATGGGGTGCGAAACAGGTTGGTTGGCACGCGCTGCGCTAAAAACTCCAAGGTAAAGTTATTATTGGGGAGTAATTAGCTCTATGAAGTTAATGCGCCGAACAATAGCTGCCAGCGCCGCACAATATGGCTCGCATCTGAGCGCGCGAAAAAATAGCCCCCGCTAAAGTGCGAGTCCCACAGCTAAAATCTGTTGGCGACCATATGCTCCGGCAATTAATGCAAGACCTGTATGACCTATTGCTGAAGAGGGGATGTGCGAGCGATAGAACCAATAATTAATTTGGAGAGAGAGAGAGAGACCGAGAGGGAGAGAGGGAGCTGGCTTTTAATATTAGTCCATTAACTTTCTATGGACAGTGGGCTATTAGGCCAGTGTGCTGTGGATGTAGGGGCATGGTTCAGGTGGCAGTGCCACTGCAGGATGCACACACAGGTATATCTGTGCCTGAGAAAGCGTGTGTGTGTGTGTGAGAGAGAGCGAGAGGGTGGGCCTCAGTGGGAAAGGCTGTTTGGTTGCAGTCCAGTTTATTAGTGCATACGTGTGTGTGCATGCTGACACACAGTGTGTAAGGAAAACACAAATTACACTGGCTGCGGTGTAATGGGGGTGATTAAATAATTACACAGCCAATTGGGTTAGCTGCTCCTATGCAAAGACTACAGAGGTGCTCCTGTGTTACGTTCGTGGTCTGCACCGTGTGCGTGGAAATCAATAAATGTTTTTCAATGTTTTTGTCTGCCTCTTCCCAACAATAAAAAACACACAGAGACAGGAGTTTGTGCTTGTGATTGCATCAGGTATTACACTTAGCTTTGTGTATGTGAGATTGAGTTACCAGTGTAGGATGGCCTTAATAGAGACCTTGTTAGCCGCTGTCGCCGCCAATTCTGGGCTCTCTTAAACCAGTCAAAGCATCAGGTGGCTTTACTCATTTTCTGATTTTTTTTTCCTCCTTTTTTCCCTCTCTCTGCTCTGCTGCCTTTGACCTATAGCAGTAGTGATTCTTGATGAGATTAAAGACAGCACACAGGGGCAGCGCAACAGGAGTAGACACAGTTGAAAGTGTGTGTGTGAGTGCTTTGCATGAGTGAGTTTTGATTCATTAGGCAGGCCACACTTGTGTTCTCTCATCCCTCTGTTTCAATATATATTGTGCATTTGTGTCTGGCAATTCTATAAAAAATGTGTGCGTGTTCTCAAGGTAAGCCCTGAGCCTCACGGCAGGTGAGCTGCTTTCATCCCTGTCGCGCTTCCTCGCGCGGCAGCAACAGTCGTCCCCGGCAAACACTGTGGGGAGCCTCGGAGACAAGACGTTTAATTAGAATGAGACGAAAGTAAAGGGAAGTTTGAGAAAATGTGCTCACCCCTTCAAGCTTAACAAGAAGGCCCCTAGCAGGGGGTAGGAAAGTGTGTGTGCATGTGTTTTTGTGTGTCTTGTACGTCCTTATGTTCACACATGTTCCTGCTTTGGAATTTCTGTGTGGACAAGTTAGACTGAACCCTTGGAATGAACACGACGTTTTATAACATAAAGGGTGTTTTTCAAGGTCTCTGCTTAACCAGAGGGAACGGTTTCGTCATGTTTGGGGTTTTGGTGTAGGATTATGGCAAAGTTAGAGATAACGTACGGTCAGGACTTCAATTAAAGGTTAGGTTTAGACGGTTTATCACAATAAAAGTAAGGGTTACATCCAGGGAAGATTGGGGATTAGGACAGTGTATGAAAGCTCACTCAAAAGTAAAACAATGTGAATGTGAGGGAGAGTGTGTGTGTATGTAGTGGATGATTAAAATTAATGGATTGTAAGTGATGCTAAATCATGGATCATTTCAGGTAGAATCAATTAGAGCGAGAAGACAGCCAATCACCGACTTGTGAAGACTAATGAGCGTCTACACAATGAAGGTGCACATGTGCTGCTCGTACTGTATGCCATTAGCCTCTGCTGCTGCTATGCCCGTCTGTGCAAATGAACTTTCTTACGCCGCATTCGGCGAGTGCTGCTGGCCTAAATAGCGAACGCTAACACGCATATCACTAGCCTGAGAGGGAAAAAAGAGAAAAGAAAGCAGACACAAGGACAATAAATAATTTGTCCTCTTTTCATGAAGGATGTGTGTCACTCTCCTCTCTTTTTCATGAGCTTGATTATTCGTTTCATTTCATCACCTCTTCCAAGTGGACGGTTGAAAGCATTCTTCACAGGCCTTTGGGGGTTCAAGTCTAACAAAGCCAAGGACGGAGACACACAAACACACACACACACGAAGGGACAGCTGAACTCAGCCTTGTTAGGGGGAAATGCAATCACAAGGGGCTTATCATACAGACACAAAACACACATACACGTACGTACACACCCCAACACACTGAACCTGGTGCCCTCTCTCTGGCAGGCCATTGTATTGTGGGATTGTGTGGACAATCTCTTCATGAATGATTAAGCAGTGTATTTCTCAACCAAGTCTTTGATGATGAGTGTGTGTTTGATCATCGAGCGAGTGTGCAGCACTCTCCGCGACCGCTTGTGATATGTGTGAACGGGCAAGGGAAGGCGTTTATTTCGGATGTTTGTCCGTGTATTCGCATACTTTGTTGTGTGCAACATATATGTGGATGTCTGAGTGTTTTGAGCTGCTGTGATGAGCGCCTGTTGATTGTGTGTCTCTCTTAACGAGGCTGCCTACAGCTGCCCCTGCTTGTGAGAAACTATTGTTGGGCCCGTTCAATGGAGAGACGCTTGTTTGGGAAAAGGTTGCAAAGTCATGGGAAAAGAGAGCTTTGTCTCGGCGGGGTCGTGAGGGAGTGAATCATGAGCGGACGTGTTTACGGCTTCACACACACAGCTGTACTGCGCGCGCGCGCACACACACAAGCGCATGGGTTAAGAAACGAACGCATGGAGAAGGCACAGAGAACTCCTCAGACGCAAACATGTGCTCGCTTTTTTGTCAGAGAGACAAAACGCGGACAATTAAGAATTTAATTCGCATAAAGCAAATAAACACAGCTGCTTTACACATTATCGCAGACACACACAGACACACGTCCTACACACATGCTATCACAAGGTTTCTTATCACACAAACCGTGTATGGCTAAACTCTCAGGGGAAAGGGAGTGTGTGTGTGCGCTTTCTTGGACAGGGTGTCTCTTTATGATACAAAGCCCAGCTTTCTCAGCTTAAAATTCAGTGTCATCTGCCTTTACAAAGGGCTGGGCTATTCGTTCCAAGCCACCTGGACCAAAATAGAGGCTCCAGTGTATGGACCCAAAAGTACAATACTTCCATTTTTAAGTGTTACATATATAAACCCACCCGTTTTCTCAAGCCGAGGACCAGGCTCACATTCAAAGGGGCTTTTAATTTGAATTACTTTGCAGTTTTATTTGACTTTACTGGCTATTTAACATTCACTTTTACACACCACATGATAAGATTTGGCCATTACTAAATAAAGGCCTATTGATTTTGCATTTCATAGGATTCGGTGGTGAAGAAAGTCCCTTACAAATCTCCTTTGAAGCGAGAACATAAACAAGTATCTCATACAACAACCACCCAACTCAAACATATCACGCAATTTTAATCAGATCTACAACTGAAACGTTTATTTTTTTTAACACAGGGTACTACTTGGCCTGCAGTATGAGATTCTTCTTCTTATTTTGCAGTGTTAAGAGTGTTTCTGGCATCAACCTCTGTTCAAAAGGGGGACAAAGTGTGAGTCGTAGCAACCAGGTTAATCAGATAGGGGCTTAGCTATGCACAAAAAGAGCAAGGATGCCATATTGGACAGTTTAGTTTCTATGGGTTTGCAGTCGTACAAAAGTCAACAATGTGGAACTTTCCTGCAGAGCTGTGCCGAGGTGGGTGTGTTTATTTGTACTTTAGAACGTAACAGCCTTGAAATAATCCGAAAATAAGGTTTTACTTGTCTGAGTCTCTCTTTCACTCTTGCTACCATTATCTAGGTTGATTAGCTGGTGCTGTATTCCTTTAACAGTCACTCTTAGACACAATGGAATAAACATCAGAAAAGTGGACTTCACCGACAGTGTGACAAGCAAGTTGGATTTATATAATAATCATTTTAACCACACATACTGCCAACAGAGTACTTTTGATTTTTCCAAGCAGACAGACCTATTTTTAAGTGATTACACAGGTTGTGTATGAGTGTATGTTAGAGGAGGAGGGGTCACCATTATAAGTCAACGTTGATTCAGGCCCCAAATGCTGATGGCTGAGCATAGAAAAGCTGCAACAATCACAATCACAAAATTGCTATTGTGGGTGATGCCGACACGCGCGCAGACGTACTCGCACGCTCACACGAACCCGACGCACAAAGGGCACATACACAAACATGCGCACACATCGTATGGATGGCCATGCAGACACAAGCTGGCCTCACCTGGATTTGTTGCTGCAGGAGGTTGATTTTGTGTTGCTGCTGTAGAAGCTGCTGCTGTTGCCGGGCAATCTGTGGACAGAGCACACCGTGCGCTTTTAGAACTGCATACAAAGTGCATGCGTGTGCGTTCGTGTGTGCAGAGCCTGTGGGAGATGCGACACATCTGCAGGTCTCTGATGCCCCAGTTGCACGACAGAGGGTCAGTGCCCTGGTATGAAATATTAAAAAGCTCAACACCGACCCACTTACTGACATGCTGACGACTGACTGCTTTTGATATACTGATGTTAGCTGAACATTATGAGCACACAATTTTTAACAGTTAGCCTCATAGGATAATTTAAAGCTGCTTGTTTTCACTTATGTGACTGCGTCTTTTATTTAACTAGGAAAGAATTACACAATTATGTGAAATTTGGCTTCTACAATCCTAAAAAACAGACAAAAATACAAATACTTTTATTCTTGAAAGGTAATTTTTTCACTTTCTTTACCTTTACCTTTTGTTTTGCATTCAAAACAATGCTTTCAATGAAACACAACAGCTACAGTGAAAACATAAGTAACTTTTGAGCTGAAACTCCAGCAACTCCTAAAAAGAAACACAAGAATTCACACAGAGTACAATCTTCATAATGTCAGAGTCATTCACTGTGTGCTGGTGCAGGATGAAGCCAGGAGCACTGTAATGCATTGTGTTTGTCACAGGTGATTTGTCCTTACAGCTGTATTTCTGCGTGTGTGTGTGTGTGTGTGGGCCCACCCTTCTCTTTGTAAAACCAAGCCTTCCAGGAGCAAAAAAGCATGGCAAAAAAAGGGAAACCCTTCTCTATGCAAATACCTGGCAGACTCTCGCCTGGGAGCTGGGAGTGTGTGTGCGTGTACGTCTCTTCTACATCCGCTCCAACACTACATACCCTCAGCTGATTCCTGTGTAATGTCCTTGTGTTTAAGCTGCCAAAGGCGCATGTCTCTGGCTGCTTGAACGCTGCATGAGATGTGTGTGTGTGCGGAAGAAAGAGCGTGCAGGGGACAGAAAATCCTGTGATTTGTTGCTTTTCAAATCCACCTTCTGTTGTAGACCTATAAGATGCATTTTAAACAGTACTGACCTTTGAAGTTTACATTTTGCAATGCGATCAATCAAGCAATGTGCTCCATATACCAAGTAATGGAGACTGAATGGCTTGTTAGTATGGACATTTTTTTTCTTTTTGCAGCATAGGCATGGAGTAAACGCCATTTCCAAATGAGGCCCTTCACATGCACCGTGCTCCTATACCTGATCCTGCTGCTGCTTGGCGAGCTCCATCTGCTGCCTCTGCTTCTCCATCTGTGAGGCGGCCAGCTTCTTCTGCTCCTCATGGGCCGCCAAGAGCTGCTCCCTCAGGCTGCTCAACTGGCCAATCATGCCCATGAGTTGGCGCTCTTTCTCCGCCAGGCTGTCTGGGGTACCTAAAGGGCAAGAGTGAAGAAGGGGGGGGGGGCAACAGAGGTCAAAGGTGATATGAAATAAGCAGTATTCTGCTAAGGTTACCCCGTGCTTTTCAAATTCCACTTCCAGTTTTTAGACTTGATATTTCCTTTGTTAAATTAGAAACAGGCTGAGTACAGCTCGATGAGTCCGAGCACCTCAAATATTAAAATGAACCCAGTAGTTTACTGTTTTTTCCAGTTTTTGTAAATTAAAATGGCTATTTTAAAGGTTGGCATGAATCATTGGGGTTGAAGTCAGGGTCAGAGAAACCAAAAAGAAAAAACAGAGCAAAGCTATCCATGACTTGTTAGCTGACTTAATATATGACTGGTTAGGGGCTTTGAATGGTAGAAGGGGGCATGTCAAAGTAAGATGGGTAAAGTGCCGTTTGTGTGCAGCAGGGTTGTAAAACCAGATGTTGACTCATTCTCCTGGGCACAGAAGGCCAGCAGTGATTAATCAA